TATAGCTCAGCGGCACAGTGCCTGCCTGGCAAGCCTGATGTTGTGAGTTTAATTGCTGGTACCAAAAAAAAAAAGAAAAAAAAAACCACAACAAAAAAGTGGGGGCTGGGGGCAGAGCTCAGCAAGCATGCACAAGGCCCTAGGTTCAATCCCTAGCACCAAAAACAAACAAAACAAGAAACAGTGCAAAGTACTGGGAATAACCTAAGCACCTCCAAAATAATGTAACTCTATAGAATTATATCTATAGAGTTGTACAGCCACTGAAAATTGAAGCTTTTGAGAAATGACATAACATGATAAAAAAATTAGAACAGCCCCACTGTATAGTCTAACGCAGAGCATGTAACAGCTGATCCTGATTTAGGGTGACTTGACTGACAATTTTTTGACTTCACAATCAAATTTTCAATTTTGGTCTTTCCCCAGGCTAGCAAAGTGCCGTCGGATCTCTCCTGACGTTGTGTGGGACACTGAGCCATTGCTCCCAGCCAGCCACCTGATCAGGAGGGGAAACCACCGACTCCGCAGTGTGCTGTGTTGCTATGCAAGGGTGCGCAGCAGGTATATTAAATGCATTTTCCACTTACAGCGTTTTCACCCCACGGTGGGTTCATGAAGACATAGCCCATCGTAAGTCAAGGAGCATCTGTATGCACGTGCACAGGGGAAATGACACAACGAACCAAATGTTACGCATAACTACCTCTGGATAGTAAGATCATAACATATGATTTCCACTGGTTCTTTGGATTTTGGAATATTAGAACAAGGGATACACTTATGGAGGACATGCAAAGTCCCCCTTCTATTCTAGAACCACACACCCCAGAAACAGGCCCTCCCGCCACCCCTCCAGCATGCGGCTCACCTCTCTCAGGGTGGTCAGCGTCCTCGTGTGCATGGTGACCTGCTTGGTGAGGTCCCTGTTGTCCTTCTCCAGCTCCTTCAGCTTGCTGGCCGCGTCCCGGCAGCGGGCCAGCTCCTTGTCCAGCGCACGGCTCTCCTTCTCGGCTGCCGACAGCTTGGCGGCGCTTTCGTCCAAGACGGCGTCCTTCAGCTCCACCTGCTGCCACAGCCGCTTGGCCTCCTTCTCCAGCAGCTTCTTGTCCTTCTCCAGTTGGGCCACCTCCTGCTCCAGGGCCTTTTTGTCCTTCTCGGCCCTCTCCAGCTGCTTGTTGGTGAGCCGAAGGGCCTCCAGGTCTCGCCGCAGCGCCTGGTGCTCAGCCTCCAGCTCGCTCAGCTCCCGCTCGAGGGCCTGTGACTTGTGGCCGCTGCTCTCTAAACTCTGCTGCAGCCGGAGGTTCTCGGCACTTACACTCTGGTAGCTGAGCTCCAGGCGCTCCGACTTCTTGCTCAGCGCCTTCAGCAGGTCCACGCTCTTCCGCAGCTCCTCCTTCTCGCGCTCCAGCTGCTGGTTCTCCCTCTCGATCTGCGCCATCTTGGCACTGGTGAAGCGCATGGTCTCCACCATCTTCCGAAGCTCCAGGTTCTCCTCATCCAGCTGTTTGTTGTCACGCTCCAGGCCCTCGAGCTGCACTGACACGTTCTGCAGAGTGTCCAGTGACTTCCTCAGCGTCCGGTTCTCCAGCTCCAGGCCCCGGCTTTCATGCTCCAGGGCCTCGACCTTCTCGGTGACCGTCTTCAGGGAGGTCACCTTTTTGGCCAGCTGCTCGTTCTCCTTCTCCAGACGGTGCAGCTCCTTCTCCAGCACCTCCACCCGCTCCCCCTTCTCCTTGGCCTGCTCCAGGTCCCTGTGCAGCTGCTTCTTGTCCAACTCAAGCTGGCTCAGTTTGCTGCCAGCCTCTGTCACTGCCTGGTGGAGGGCCCTGTTCTCCTTCTCGACGTCCTTCCCACGGGCCTCACTGCTGGCCTGCGACTTCTCCCGTAGCGACCACACGGTTCGGTGAAGGTGTTCCTTCTCCTGCTCCAGATCCTTGATCTATAGGGAAACACAATGAGCAGGGCCCAGAGCGCTGTGGGAACTGAGGCCAGGGACCTGGGCTTACACCGCGCAGCCAAACCATCCCAACAATTCCGAGGCCTGACACAGACCCCGTGAGAGGCACAGACGCGAGTGCTGATAGCGCTCAGGTCAACATACACTCAATCCAGCCAAAGTCGGCCTCAAACATAAGCAACATCTCTCTCTCTCTCTTAAATAGTTTTAGCCATTTTCCTCAGTCCTTTTTGTCATGGCCATCGTAAGTCAAGGAGCGGGCACCCAGCGGGAACCCAGGGACCGGGCCCTGCCCACCTCTGCGGCCCACTGATCACTCCCAGCTGCTTTCCACCACAGACACTGCACAAGCTGAGTACTTTCCCTCAAGCCTTTAGCCTCGCTGGCTCCTCCTCATTCTTTAAGGTTAGAAGCCTTGCATGGTAGCTGTAAAGCGGCCTTGCACCCAGGATTCTCCTGCTCTGCAGCCCATCTGTTCCCTCCATAGCACATACCCCACGTCATAACACCTGTCACCTGGCAGTTTGCCACCTAAGATGTCTTTCCACTGTGTGTAGCACTGCGAGTGCTGTCAGGAATGGCCATTACCCTCAGCTTCCTTCTCGGAAGCAAGAGTCCCAGGAGCGGGACAGGCAGCGGCAGGGCCTACCTGCCTGGCCTTGTCGGCCTTCAGGGCCTCCATGTCACTCTGCAGCTGTTCCTTCTCCCGGATCAGCTCCTCACTGAGGGTCTCCAGGTCCTGGTTGCTCTGTTTCTCTCTCTCCAGCTGGGTCTGTAACTTTTCAATCTGTGGCCAAAAAAACCCATCCCAGTGCCAAAGTCAGCCTTTCCAAGTGGGCCACGTTTTAAAACACAACCCAAACCTCTCAGCCCCACAGAAAACTGGAACGGGCCTCTGTTTGAAGAAAAGGTTCTGGCCTTGTTCTGCAGTGACCCCCTCATACCCTGAACTTTGTGTGTGGGGCCTTGAGCAAAGTCACTGGGCAGCAGACTGCCACATCCCTTGCAGGTCCCTGGGCCTCATCTGCCGTGGGGTTCCTTTTGGCCTTTTCCCTGCTCCCCAGTGTCACCATCCCTGGCCACCACTGCTGGAGGCCCTGTGGGGACTTCATGCTCACTCATTTCCTATCCAGCACCCTGCCTTGGGGTGGGGTGGGTGGTGACAGCACGCAGCTGCTCAGAGAGGTTCCCCATTTTGTCACCCTTTGCCACTTGTCCTTTCCACCCACTGCACACTCCAGCTGCCCCTGCGCCAGGCCACCGCATACATCCGGCTGGGGAATCCTACATCCCAGTCACCCCAACACCAGGCTCTTCTGCAGGAACCCATGCGTGCCCGGGCTCCTCACACTTCACGGGGCAGCCAAGCCTTCAGGAGATGAAGATGCAGCTTCTCTCCCCCAACACCAAGCTCTCCGTGTGAGGAACAGGCATGATGCTGGCCTCAGAGGAGCAAGGGATCAAGGTCTGTCCCCACCGACTACATGGCCACAGCAAATTTCTGTGGCTGACCACCAGGGCCAGCGATCCATCCTCTCAATCACACCTACAGCAGGCAGGGTGGAACGTGGGAGTTGACTCCTCCCTCAAGATCACTTCTGACTGGGGGTTTGGGGGGAACCCCAGGTGCTGCTGGCTGGGGAACGCCATCCTAAAACGATGGTCATGGTGGAGGTGGGATCACCTGCACAGCTTGGCTACATCGCAAACTTTCGCTGGGGGTGGGATCTGGTACGCTCAGGTGACACCCATGAACACCAGGAGCTGAGCGTTGCACAGCCAGGTGTGCAAATCTTGGGCGGCTCTCAGGACCCTTGTCAGATGCAGGTCTGAGACCTTTCCCCTTGGTAAGGAGCCACTCAGCTTTCCTGCTTCAGGGTCTATTTGATCTCAACCCCCACAGTGGAAGCAGGCTGTGGGGTCCGCCACTGCGGGAGCGTTGCATATGTATCATGCTGTCAGGGCACCAAGCCCTCACCCCAACCCGGGGACCCCACAGTGAGTGTGCTTCACCCAGTGATCGTACGGAGTTATAGTCACAGGGGAGGGAGGCAACTTCTCCAGGACCCACGGAGGTGCCTCGAGATACAGGCACGGTATACACCTGGGGAACTACTGTTTCCGTGGACATCCTGGGCTTATGCAAGCCTGCGGGCCAGCTACAGGGCTGACGGGGTTGGGCTGGCCCCAGGGAGCACCTCCAGAGCCCACTCGCTGACTGAGAAATGTTAGTGGGAGACCGAGACCCACCCCAAGGGAGGGAGAGGACGGCTGAGGTTGAAGCTAGGAGAGTCAGGGTGGGCTGCACTGCCTCAAGGTCCTGGGGCTGACCGTGACCTGCTGGTGCCGCAGTGCTCATCGGCCAAACACAGGGAGCACCCGTGACAGGTCAGGCACACTGGATAGGGTCAAAACACAGTGAGACGTGTGCAGAGAATGAGACAACAGCCCCTCTGTCGGCTGGGCAGCTTCTAGCCAGGCCTAGGGCAGCAAGGAAGCAAGGAAGAAGGGGGCTCCAGGCCCCAGAGGCGGAACAGCTCTAACCCGGGCTCAGTGACTCTCCCTTTCCTGCCGGGGACGCTCCCTGCTCTCAGACATGGACTAGTGCAGGACAGGCCTGGTGTCAGGCCAGGAAACTGACCCAGAGGGGGAGCAGGTAGCCAGGACCCGGCAGACTGGCAGTAGTCACGCTGGGTGGCAGCAAACGCTGGGGAAGAGGCAACAGGGAACAAGGGAGGCTGGTGCTACCCTGGGGGCCTTAGGGAGGTGACCCGTACTCTCTCCAGGCCGGCAAGATGCCATGGCAGGCTTCCCACAGCAGACGCCAAGGTCCCACAGGGTGGAAGGCTCATCGTCCTCAAGGTCAGCTCTTTTGTGTCCTGGCTAAGACTGGACTGCCATTTATGAAGGTATTTCCTGTGCCAAACCTGCACAAACCTAAGAAGCCAGTACATCCAGCCACCTCTCCCTTGCTGCTCCAAACCAAAAGACCTGGCACGAGATGGGGTATCTTCTCTTGTCCTGCCAAGTCAGGACAAGCTGTGCAGCAGCAAAAATGCTGCAAGATGCACCGTGCTTCACGGCGACATGAGGGAGCAGTGCAGCTGGGCAGCCCCACAAGGGTCCCACGAGGAGGGGGTGTGTCAAGCCCCACTCAGGTGAAGAACAGCAGGCAGCAGCCTTGCAGCATGCACCTCCCACCTTGCAGCTGATATTCCTCCCACTGCCCCTGCAATGTCAACAAATGACATCTCGGCACTCAGAAGCAGGTCGGATACCCACACGTCAAAAGTGCCAGTCTTGCAAGGGGGCCATCAACAAGATCTCTCCTGCCTTCTGCCTGCGCTAGAACCTGGTGCTGGGTGTGTTCAGAACCCACAATGCAACTACACCGCCCCCGCTGCAAGTGAGGCAGCCTCCACCCTAGGAGGACAAGCCCCGGACTGCGCTGCCCAGCAAGCTCACCTTCTTGCTGAGCTGGTGGTTCTCCTTCTCCAGCTCTCCGCACTTGAGGTTGCTCTCTTCCAGTGCCAGGGATGCATCCCGCAGCCCCTGGATGGTGCTCTGGAGGCTCTGGTTCTCCTTCTCCAGCTTTAGGATGCGGCTAGATGCACATTCGTTCAGCTCAAACACAAACGACTTCCTGGAGGCTGAAGCAGAAAGTGAGTCAGAGCCCTGTTCTGGAGCCTCTACTTTCACTCTGCCTAGAGCCCTGAGCCCCAAGCCCGGGGAGCTGGATACCCACGTCTGGCTCCGCCACTCTCATCCCCCTGTTGTCTTAGCTGGGCTCAAGGAGAGAGCAGGTTGCGGGGCAGGAGCTTATACAAAAGCCAAAGACCATGTAACCTGCAGGGACCACCTGCTTACCAGGCTATTAACCTGACGGCCTACTCAAGGACTGCAGGGGCCAGGAGAGAGGGCTAACAGGCCATGTTCTCTGTGACTGCTCAGCAGGGAAGGCACAGTAAGTGACCAGTGGTTCTGCGGTGGGGGACGGAAAGCTATGCACCCAGCACTTGCCAGCCTGGGTGAGAACCTCGGCGCAGACTTCTTATGATTTACAGTTATACTGAAGAAAAGTGAGAATCTATGCAAATGGTTTTAAAAATTCCAAGTAAGCCAGGGCGTGATGGCACGTGCCTGTAATCCCAGCACTCAGGAGGCTAAGGCAGGAGGATCGCTGTGACTTCAAGGCCAGCCTGGGCTACAAAGTGAGCTCAAGGCCTGCCTGAACTGCACAGTGAAACCCTGTCTCAAAAAGACAGACAAAAAAAAAAAAATTCTGAGTAAGACAGAAAGGTAAATTGTCTACTCTGGTTGTAAGCAGCTCAAATGCAAGCAGAGAAGGAAACACAGTCCTGGGACAGGACCACAGCAGGTGAGTCAGGGCTTCTGGGGAAGAAAACATCAGACGTGAAAGGCCTCTGAAGGAGGGATCAAGGCTGCAAAGCCCACCATAAGCTGAGCTTTAGCACACTACGCCGCTAACTCTGCAGCCCCTCTCCCCCCACCCCTGCCCACCCCGCTGCCGCCCAGAGGCTATATAGGGAACACAGGCTGGGACTTTCACAGCAAGCCCACCCCTGTGCAAATGTAGTGTGTGCGCTCACTACCCTGGGCGATCAACCGCTAGGACTACAAGGGGTCTGTTTCTCCCTCCAAGCTTCCGTTCTCTACCAAGGCAAACAGTATGTGCAGGAAGGAACAACAGGTAAGGTGGCAGCGGAGCAGATCATGTGTCCTGCTTTAGTGAAGACGGACAAAGGTGAGCACGGCTGGGGCTTCATCCTGATTATGCTACCCGAAAAACCCTAACCTAAAACACCCACCTAAAACCCAACTAACTCGAACTTTTGGTCACCTGGACAGCACCTCTGGGGCGTGTGTGGGGAAAAAAGCAACGTGTTTTTGACTGTGGTGAGATGTATGTAAGATTTACCACATCAGTCGTTTTTTAAATGTGCAGCTCTTTGGCTTTAGGGATGCTCACGTGTTCCCCAACCATCACCAACCTCCATCTCTTTCTCATCTCCCCACGCCAACACTCTGTACCTGCGGAGAGTAATTCTTACGGTTCTACAAGGTGAACAATGGAATCGATGGAATCGATGACAGGCAGTTTATCACTAAACAACCAACGGCTCTCCACTGAGCGCCCTGCTCATCAGCAGCCCAGCAAGCAGATCTGCTTTAATAGACAAGGACGGCCACCCTCCGCAGGCCACCAGGGCCAGGCCAGGGTGAGGCTTCCCCATCTGGTCTCATCTGTGCTCAGAGGAGGCTATGAGTCCCCATCGGGCAGGTTCACCACCCTCACTTCGCAGATGAGGAAACTCAAGCTTGAAGAAGTTATGTGCTTGCCCTGGGTCAGCACTTCACCAAGTGGAGGAGCCAAGACTCTTAATCCAAGTCTTCACAAGTCATACGGTACACTCAAAGGTATATTCAGGGGGCTGGGGATGTAGCTCAGTAGTACAGTGTGCGTTCAGTATGCAAGAAGCCTGAGTTCAAACCCCAGCAAAGGAAAAGGTCTAAAACATATGGAACCAGCCGTAGTGGCACATGCCCTCAGTCCCAGGCACTCAAGAGGCTTGAACCCAGGTGTTTAGGGCCAGCCTAGGCAACACAGCAAGATGCCGTCTCTTTAGAAAATAAGTACTTTTAAAAATTAAAAGAACAAATTTTCAGGCTTTTCTTGTATTGTGTCATTCAACATTATTATTTTTTTTTTTTTGGTCTTTTTGAGACAGGGTCTCGCCATGCAGTTCAGGCTGGCCTTGAGCTCACTTTGTAGCCCAGGTTGGTCTCGAACTTACAACGATCCTCCTACCTCAGCCTCCCGAGTGCTGGGATTACAGGCGGGGGCCACCACGCCCGGCCTTATCATTAAGAATAAATCATAATTATTGACCTTAAAGCACTCACAAACTATCCTGAAGAGTCCACTGGTGAGGGCTTCCAAGTCACCAGCTATTCTGGTCTCAGAGTCTAACACAAGCCCTGGAGACAGAGGAGGCAACACCACCTCTCTTCACCACCAGGGGGCAGCGGTTCATCCTGTTGGACTTAGAGGTAGGGGGTCTGTCACTCCCACCCTGAGCCGCTCCCAGGCCCTGTACAGGGCACCCAGGCTCTGCACAGGGCACAGGCCCCAAAGCACAGACAGAACCAACTGCTCATTGTAAGAAGTTAACCAACAGTTTAAGTTTGGAACTGAGAAGAGTGAACAAACAGCTGCTTTCAATAACCTCATTGGTATTCTTAGGGATGTTTACCAGGATTTTAAAAAGCCACCACCAGAACAAGCCAAAAGCTCCACCGCACTTTGTAAGGCTAAGTAAACATTAACTTGAACTATCAGGTGAGCGGGTGCTATTTTCAAACACAGGAACCAGCTCATTGTTTGCCTGGCGCTGAAGCTTCCTGGTCCAGTGCTGCCCCCACCCCCGCCCTTCCCACGACTGCCACCTCAGCTGGGGGGCCAGCAGGGGGCAGCAGTGCCACCCAGGAGGACTAGCCTCGCAGCTCTTGGGAGCAGCAGCCACTCAGCATCCCCACCCAGGAGACAGAAGACAGGCTGCATCCATCTTGCCCAATTATGCAAATGAACTGAGGAAGTAATGCCCAGGGTATATTTATAGCCGAGATTAGCGACCAATGGGGACTCTCCTGCCATCCAGGGCTTTCAACCATGCAGACATGCTTAAGATGTCCCCTGGGCGTCAGCGTGCTGCGATCTGGAAGCTCCTGAGTGGCCATATGGGAAACAGAGCAGCCTGGCGACACTTAATTTGTATTTTGCATCCTGACATCCAGGCCGCCAGACCCCTCGTGCTCTCCAGGGGGAGGACTGTAATGAAACAGTTCCAAGTGGCACTTGAAGGAAATTATATTTACTTGAGGTGAATGGATGGGCCACCGTGAGGATTCCGTGCCAGGACTCAGCTCTCTGGGTGAGGATGCAGCCCCGGTCCAGCTGGCTCCAGGCACCAGGCGCTACCTACCGTCTGACAACTCCGCGTTCTTAGACAGCTGCTCCAGCTCCCAGCCCAGGTGGGCTGACTCGTTCATGCTCTGCTTCTGGGCAATCTCCAGGACCATGTTTTCTTCCAGCAGCTCCTCTATTCGCTTCTTATCTGCGTCTCGGTCCTAGGGCAGGAGAGAAAAGAAATGGAGACAGGCCTCTGGTCAGGCCCAGCCTCGGGCATCCACTGCCAGCTGCTGAGGATGAAGGGACAGCGCAGGCCCGCTCACTTCCAGACACAGAGCTGCCCATGAGTGTGCCACACGGGCCTCACTATGCCAGTGACAGCCACCGGACGGTACCTCAACCTGGCTAAGTACGTTCCACAGAAAAACCCAAAGTCTCTAAACAAATGCTGGGTGATCCTGGGGACACCCCACACAGGGCTCTGGAGCAGGCAGTTGGGTGATGGGCAGCTCTACGGCTCTGAAGCAGGTCTCCGGGATGTCAAAAGTCTGAAGAGGTCAACATCCCTGCCCTGCCCACTGGGGAAAGGCCAGCAGGGGTGCTCATCCTTACAGAAAAGCACCGCCAAGGTCAGGCCTAGCTGCTTTGAGGTATTAAGTGCCACTCAAGCCCACTGAGCTCAGCAGCTAAGAGAAGGGCCTGGCCCACCCCCCACCCCCACCCAGTTCTGCACATGGCCCCTGCACAGTTGCCTATACCAGTTCCAGGTCGTGCAGCTTGGATTTCAGCTGCAGGTTCTCCTTCTCCAGCTCGTGCACTTTGTCTCCGCGCGCCCGGGCAGCGGTCAGCTGCTCCTCCAGCATGGCCTTGGTTTCAATCAAGATGATGTTGTCTTCTCGCAGCTCCTGGGGAGCAAAGGCAGAGAGGAGACCACCAGGTAAAGGTGAGAGGCTCATGGCCATAGGATCCTCAACCCAAGCTCTTTCAGACCCCTGCACCCAAACCTCGATCAAGGCACAAGCCCGTGACAGGAAGCTCTGCCTCCACTTTTCCCATCCTCGCCTCTTTTCATGAGGCAAGGGCACACGGACTTTCTTTACTGAAAAGCAAATCTAGAAATCAAGAAAATATTGAAACTGGGCAACGCGGGCCAGGGAGTGGCTCAAGCTTTGACGCTGAGGACCTCACTTTGACAAGCACACTCTGCTGACACAGCCAGGGGAGTTTGTTCAACAAGGTAGGGGGAAGCTGAGAATCTACGAGGGGTCCCTAGGTCTGAGTGTGTTCCCTTCAATTCAACATTCATCCCATTATCAGCGTCCCGGAAGAAGTGGCCATTCAGGGGCTTTCATGTGGCACACAGTCACTATTTGAGTATTTTACGCACGCACCCTTGGTCGAACAAAAGTGCTCAGCAGTTTGCTGGAAATGTCTTTACAGCAATTAAGTCAGAGCACTGCAAACCAAGCAAACACGAGACCCGGAGACCTGTGCGGCTGAGGGGTCCATCGGGTCTGCGGGTCACCTTCTGCAGCCCTCCTCACGGGCCCTTTCAGTTTCTCGGGTCCTCTGAGCCCAAGGCCCGTCCCACCCACAGATTATAATGCGGGATGAGGCTGGGCGTCTCCGGTTATCCACTCCATGCTCACGGCTCCCGATGGGCCAGAATCCAAGACTCTCAGTGAAGCGGGGAACCACCCGCTTTCCAGTCAGTGGTCAGGGTTTTGATCAGAGCCTGGCAACCAGGGACAGCCTGCTCATCGACACTCGGCTCGCCTGTGTGCCCTCGCCCTGCCCATGCCCCGCAGCAGTTCTGCAGTCACCGGCCCTCCTCACTCCTGGCAGCAGCCCCCAGGGGCCCGGGGACAGCCCCTCCTATGATAAAGGACTGGCTTGGGTAAGTTAAGGATCGAGCCTAAAGTGCAAACCCACTAAGGGCCAAAACCGAGCTTGCTTGGCCAGAGCACTCGGGCTAGTTCCTCCACTGCCCTCAGCCCCCTCAGACCCCATCCCCTGGGGACTCACATGGGGAAGAGAGGCCCAGACTGCTCCTAATGACGCCAAGCCAGAGGACGATGAGGTTTCAAGCGGGAGGCAGGCCCAGCCATCCCTCTCGGGTTGCTGCCGGGCCTGCTCTCACCCAGTGTGCTAGCGAGGTCCACCCACCACTAGCCAAGGCAACCACAGCACGGCTGCCCCTCCATCCTCACAGCCAACTCCTGCTCGGCCTTCAAGAGCCAGCATGAGTTGCCCCTTGAGAAATGCTTATGAATCCACTCCCTCCTAATACGGAGTCAGGCATTTGACCTCCCATGGTCCCTGCGCCTGCTCTGATGCAACACTCACTGCTTGTCCTCTCCAACTCTCCTCAGGACAGGACTGTCCCCTTCCATGAGCTTCACCTATGTGTTCAATGACACCCGTCAATCAACACCACAGCGAGGGGACTAAGTGTGGTTTACGAGGTGGGCTGTGAAGGACTTGGACACTTTCAATGGGTGGGGCTGGTCAGAGGTGGCAGGAGAGGGACACAGTACCCAGCAGAATGACTCCTAACTGTCGTTCAAATCCTCCTCGATTTCCCTGTGGTTTCAACCTCGGTTTTATCAGGCGGCAGAAATACCCCAACCTGACAACTTGCCTCACGCGCCCAGGGCCTTGAGGTGAGAGGAGAGCCTGCACCCCACCGGGGTGGGAGTGCAGGAGCGAGAAGGCCGGTCCACATCTCTGGGCAGCTGCCCACAGCTACACGCCCGCCATGGTCGACCCCAAGAGAACCAGGAGGCTATTTAAAGTCACCCCACCTTGAGCCATGTTTAGGAAATCACAGGCTGGATTTGAGGGCTTGTCCCCAGGCAGCTAACAAGTCAGCTTGTGTGTATGAGAGAGGGAGAGAAAGAGAGAGTCTGTGTGTGGTACTGAGGATTGAACCCAGGCCCTCTGCATTGAGCTACATCCCCTGTCTTTTTTTTTTTTTTTTTTGAGACAGGATATTTCTAAGTCACTAAGTTGCCCAGAGTGGGCTCACGCTGCAGTCCTCTCGTCTCAGCGTCCCAGAGTGCTGGGACTGCAGGTGCGCAGCACCAAGCCTGGCGGAGAACCCACTTCTAACGTGCCACCAGGACCTGAAGCTCCAACCAGCCACGGGGGCACTGGGACGACTCCCAGGTCCGCCAGGGGCTCCAGCTGCAGGACCTCTCAACCACGGCTTCCTCCTTCCTGAGAAGGGCATGAGAACAGGGGGATGTAGGTTAGATAAGTGTGCAAAACACTCCCCAGCTGCTGTGTCAGTCACCTCGCAGCCTACATGGCACTGTTCCCTCCAGCCCTCAGCCACAGAGTGACCGCCATGTTAACGGGCAAAAGCTGGTTCCCAAGGGCCGCCAGAGGTATGGCTCAGGGGAACAGCACTTGCCTAGCATGCAGGAGGCCCTGGGTTCAAACCCCACTACAAAGGGGAAAAAGCCCTCTAACCTCAAAACAAACATGGTTTCCATGGGGAACTCCTGCCCACCACAAGCACAGAACACCAGAGAGGATGTGGAGTCACAGAAACAAACGGGTCCCTCCCAGCAAGGGCCGGATCCCAGTACCAATACCCTGCTGTGCAGAGTGACACAAAGCCTGCAGTGCCCTGAGGAGGTGGGAAGGCCTGGTCCCTGGACTCCCGCCTCAAAACAGAAAAGTCAGGCCTGAGTGACCCTACCACTCAGCTGGCGTCACTGAAATGCCTTTTGCTCCCCAGGAAACCAACCTGATTAAATACGGCCTGACCCATAAGCTGGACCTGGTAGTGCATTCCTGTAATCCCAGCACTTCTGAGGTCGAAGCAGGAGGATCACAAGTTCAAGCCCAGCCTGGGAAACTTAATGACTTAGGGAAACTTAATGACTTAGTGAAACCCTGTCTCAAACAAACAAACAAACACAAACACCAAAAACAAACAAAAAAACATGAAAGGTTAGGTCTGTCCAGCTCAGCTGTTCCATATGTTAAATCTCACCAGAAATCCCAAGAAGAAACAGAGACAGACACACAA